AATACTATAATTTCATAGTATTTAGGATTGATTTACGCATCAATGGGGGGAACGTCCAGGCCACTACACATCCCCTCCTAGAAGGGAAACCGTAGGTTGGCATTTGATCTACGTGAGGACCGTCCGTCTCCAGCCAGCCTTCTGCGGACCAGGTGGTGAGAACTGATGCAGCTGCTAGGGGAGCACTACTGCGATCGGATCCTAGCGGGCTCCCACCTGTGTCCTACCTAAAGGTGCCAAATACACAAAATGGAGGGAAGTACGTGCGAGTCAAATTTTTGCAAACTAGTGAATGTCAACTGGATTTCGTGGCTCAATTTTCTAATGACCTCCGACACATTTCAGGTCAGAATAACGTCGTTGCTGACGCTCTTTCGCGCGTCTCCGCAATCCACACTGCTGGCCAGGCAAACGACTTATCTGGCAAGGCTACCGCGCAACTAACCGACACTGACTGTCAGAACGTCAAACAAGATTCTTTGCTACGCATCACATCGCATCCACTGCCGTTATCTGATGGCAAAATCTTGTGCGATACTTCTACCGGAGGACCTCAACCCGTCGTTCCAGAAACCTTTCGACGTATAGTTTTCGACCCACTTCATAACATCGCTCATCCAGGCATCCGAGCCACGATCAAGCTCATATTCGAGAGCTACGTTTGGCTCGGAAGGCAACGCAAACTTAAGCGATAGGCACGCGGTTGTCTAACGTGTCAGCAGGCCAAGATACAGCGGCACGTGTCCGCTTTGCTTGGTCGTTTTCCGCAAGTCTCAGCTCGCCTCACCCATGTCCATCTCGACATAGTTGGACCCTTTGCACCATCCAGAGGAATGGTCTACATTCTGACCATGATCCACCGATACACCCGTTGGCCCGAAGCCGTACCTATACCCGACGTATCCGCGGACACCGTAACGCGCGCTTTTGTTGAGCGCTGGGTCGCTTCACGTGGCTGTCCAGCCACCGTGACTACCAACCGCTGTCCGCAGTTCGAATCCTCGACCTTCAACGACCTTCTCAAAGTCCTCGGATGTCAACGCATCCGGACTACCGCCTTTCACCCGCAATTTAACGGCATGGTGGAACGTTTCCACCGACAGCTGAAGGCCTTACTTAGTGCCGATAATGCACTAAGCTGGATCGAAGCAGTGCCTATGATACTACTTGGTATCCGATCAGCTCTTAAAGCTGATTTGCACACGTCCAGCGCCGAACTGGTATATGGACAATCTCTTCGACTACCTGAGAACTCTTTTTCTGGAAACCACAGAACACCCCGCTACGACACGAATTACGCTCGGCAGTTAGCCACGAGCATGCGCCATATAAACGTAACCGACGTGCGAGAACAACGACGTAACTCGTTCGTTCCACAAGATCTACTGCATTGCGCTTACGTTTTCCTTCGAGTCGATGGTCTACGCAGACCACTCGAACGACCCTACGAAGGTCCATTTAAGGTTCTTAAACGTAAGGACCGCGTATTCGTTATCGAGCGCCACGGTAAACATGAAACTGCCTCTATCGACCGTCTCAAGGTTGCCCATGTGGAACCTGAGATGGACGATGACTCCCGTCCATCTTCGGACGAGTCAACGCAACCTATGATAGACGACACGCCTACGTCCGATGTTACGAAGCATTCTCCGACTAACCCCTCCGACTCAGTTCCTTCCGATTCTATCGAGCCGAAAGCTTCCTTATCCGACAAAACTGCTGGGCCGACAACGCCTCAGACCGAACGTCCGAAATCGACTAGGCCAGGTAGACGGGTTCATTGGCCAGCGCAAATAAAAGATTAGTCTTCTTTTCATTCTTCCTTTCCCGCTTCCTTTTTCCTTGTAGCCTAACCCGCCCAACAAAATGGCAGTTTTAAAAACCCAAACAAATTTGCAGAGCGTTTTGAAAACCCAAAAACAGCGAAAACGTTTTGAAAACCAGGAAGTTGAGAAAATCGTTTTGAAAACACAAAATGGTTCTCGCTTTATTCGCTTATCGCACTCTCCCGCACCTGTTTGACACCGCGTCTCTGGTTCTTTTTCATTTCCGCTACACGCAAACGTTCAACGACAACCGAACGTTAGGTTTTCGGACACCACGTGCTCAAACGTCATGTGCTGTGACACTACGCACTCGAACGCTAAGAACATTCCCCCAATTTTGTATTGTTGGCACCTGTAGGGAGGACACGGGTGGGAGCCCCCTAGCGCCTGATCGCATTGGTTCTCCCCCAGCAGCTGTATCAGGTTTCACTACCTGGTCTCACAGAACGCTGGCCGGCGACGGACTGTCCTCACGTAGATCGAAGGGTCACCTACGGTTCCCTTCTAAGAGGGGGCTGTGTAGTGACCTGGAGGTTCCCCTGTTTGGCTGCCGCATGCTGCGTAAAATATTACAAAATCACAAAATTATATTTTCTCGATGTATATAGCAAATTAGCCGCTCGCCTTTTTGAACCTTGCTCGCGTTGTTTGAGTCAACATAGCATCCGGCTTCGAACGGCGCGGCGCTCACCGGCTCCGCGGCCATTTTGCTCTCCGCGCACGCGACCACATTTTTTCCCTAGCTAGCTATCTTCCGGTGCCCTATTGTTAGCACTAGATAGCTTTTCGCCTCACTTAATAAATTTTTCCTAGCGTTACTCCACTCATCGGAGGTTGGCTTTATATTCGCGTATTGGTTCTAAAGCGTACCGATGCTGCTGCTCGCTTGGTTCATTTATTCCGAGCTTGCAGAGTAGCAGTCGCACTTTCCAGGAGCCGTCCTGGACGAATGAAGCCGTCTGGAACATATCTTCCCAGCGTTTGAACCACGCTTCGAAAGTGCATCCAGAATCCGCATCAAAATGGAATTAAGTGATGACGTTCGTGAGAAGATCAACAGAACTCGGCTGAATGTCTTGCGTCGTTGCTATTGTGGTCTGCAAACTCAAACGTTGTGTCAGATATTTAATCGATTTCATTTGTGCCTCCATTTGAGCTTGCTGTTGTAAAAGCTGCTTTTGAAATTGGTCCGCAGTAAGATTCATCACCTTTCCAAATTTTCTCCGTGGACGTTTGTTGTAATCTCACTAGACGCAACTCCAAAAATAACAATTCATTGCTCCATTAAATTACCAGCCCTAAGGCAGAAAAAACAAAACGCCAATGACCATGCCAAAATAAAGTGTTAATCGCCGTCAACCAACACTGTACAACGACTGCGGACCTTGACTGTATTTACAGATCTCTACTGAGCTTCGACTACTAGAGTTGGAAGGTGAACTGCCAAGGTTAGTAGTTCTGTAACGAGTGACTGAAACTAGTTTGGTGCGTGGTTGAATTTACGTTGTCGCGCTGACGGCGTCTTCCTTTCCGTCTGCCTTCCAGAAGGGCATGGAACCTACAAGGTCACGGCGTGCTTCCCTGGTAGCACAAACGTAACAATAAAGCTAGCAACCTGGACGTAAACTGGACAGATGTCCACTTCAGGTTTTATTGCATTACTTGCAGCTAGATGCATTTAGCTTGACATTTGTTAATAAATTAATAGTTGATATGCATTATATTTGCTATTATTTGACCATAACCCTGGTGGTTTAAATGCATCTGCAGGTCTTTTTATTTGGCCGATTTCGGTTTCGTAACCTTGGTCGCTGATACCGCTTCGTTCTGCGCTATTGTCTTGCTTCCTTGAAACTGCGTTTCCGCAGGTGTACCTATCAGGTATTTCGGTTAAACATTGTTTGATACGTAGGTGTTCCTTTTCAGCATGTCACGTCTACGAAGTTATCAATTAACTGCACAGTTCCCGTCTCGTAGCACCATTTACCGGGCAGCGAAAAGAATGACATCAGGATTCAGCTACGAAGAAGGGTAAGAGCATCTTTAACAAATCTTAAATATGATTGCTTACACAGTTCAGCCACCTGCACACGTTATCAACCGCAGTGAAGATGACAAGGATCCAGATGAACTGGTATATAACTTGAGAAAATTGATCGCAAAATCTCAAGTACCAGCGTCTTTTGTTCGTCTACTGTTGTGCCTTGTGCAGCCGTGGATGCCATTTTTGCCAAGTCATATTCTCTTTAAGTACATTGCTTTACCCTTGAACGATTTTCTTGTAATTTACCCTATGCCACACAGTTATACACTTTAACTACCAACGTCTTTCTTTTTCAGCAATGATGGCTTTTCAAGGATACAGCGTTGTCAAACTCCTTGACTCCGAGGATTTAACAACTATTGTCAGTAACACTTGGCTTAGAGAAGAAGGTTCGTACGCTCAAATACCTTCAGTGCGGGGTACGCACTACCATGCAGCGGTGAAAAATCACACTGCGCCGGATGTCGATGTGGTCAGCACTGCCGTGTCCATAATCGTTAGCACTAGTAAGTATTTCTCTTATATTAATCCACCTCGTTAGTTAGCTTCCAGCATGCCGGAGAAATGGAACGGCAATCTGAGCGCGGGATGCTGCCATCGACAGACGATACAATTCCCATGGGCCTTCCAGCCAAGCGTGCAATGTGTGTATTGTGTTTTTTATTTCCCCTTAGACGCCGGCCCGTCCGTTCTAGCTCCGATGACGAGGATGCCGTGCGTCCAAACAAACCCAAAAGACCTTCTGCAGCAACCTACGCACGTGCGCCCTCCTCTCTGTTCAGTAGCCTTAGTCCGTCACGTCCAGGACCATCAACAAGCAACCGTAAGTATCGATTTCATACTGCCCCTATTAAACAGTAATCGCGCCACCGGTTACTGCTGACGTCCCACCAAGCAATCTGAATGTTCTGCACGAACAGCAGGCCATAAAAAGTAAGACGCCACAGATGTATTGCATTGCGCTTAGCCTTATTTTTAGATGAGTTGTGTCTCATTCGATCAGAATTGGTCGACCATCGCCGCATGTCCGAAGCGATGTTGCAAATGCTACAACGACAATCCCAAAGTGTTGCGCCGGGACTATCTCTGCCATTCATCTCTCTCAGTGAGCTAAAGAGGTATGATGAACGGCTGAATGACCCTGATTTCAAAATCAGAGTCGTAAGTTCGGCTTATTATTCAACTACTTTAGGTCAACCATTTATGTGCTGTGCACGGTGATAACCTACAACTCATCGTCCGAGTTACCATGGAGCGGCTAATGACAAGATCAGTTGCCGCGGAGATAAATTACTCCGGCGCTAGAGGTTCGTTTGCATTCAGGCGAGCAAATATGAACGGCCTTGTACAAGGTAGGTTGAAATGCAGTAATCCATAAAACTACCAAGGCCTCATTCGGCAACGCATGGGTGATGCAGCCTCGGATGCTGACATTACACGGCACATCAAAACGTGGTTGCATTCCGCACGGCACAAAAGGCAGCCGGTTGAGCAAACTAAAGTATGCGATGCGAATGAGGTGAGTCCCCTGCTTCCTTAGGCACATCTTTAACCCCCTACGTTGACACTCGCGGAGGCAGATTAAGAATATTGACTATGCCGCTTTCTGCTACTAACGTTCTTTGTACTGCCCCCTTCATGTATATTTCGGATTCCTATACCTCGGTTTTAATTTTCTTTCGCCTTGTGATGTCAGGTGCGCGGTAAGAGCGGTTTCCTTTTCTGACCAACAACTTTGAGTCGCCGCCTAGGTGGGTTCCCAAGTCCAGAAACTACCGCAACTGGTACCGGGTGAACACTAGGTCCGAGCCGTCCATATATTCGTTAGGCGCATAGTGCGTTCAAGTGTGTTGTCCGTATTCGGATACCCATGGGAGGCAATGACGGGATCTGGACCAACCGGATTGTCACGCATAGTGGTGAATTTCTATTGGTCAACGCTAGCATCATCTTCATTGGTGCAACCTAAACTGGACAGGAACCCTTTTTAGCCGTCTCACGGTAATACTTTCTGTCCAGTTTAGCCTAATGCTCTCATAGGAAAGTTTAGGATGCTAAACTGGACAGGATGCCCGGCGAGTCCAAACAGCAAAACCCAAAGGGCTCCTCATGCAGCAATCCTACGCTACGTTGCGCGCCCTTCCTCTCAGTTCAGTGGCCTTAGTCACGATCAACGTCGAGGGCCCTCAACAAGCCACCGTAAGTATCGATTCATACTGCCCCTATTTAAACAGTAATGCGCGGACCAGCCGGTTATTGCTGACGTGCCCTCACCCATAGTCAATCTGGATGGGCTGCACGGAACAGCAGGTCATAAAAAGTAAGACGCCCACAGATGTATTGCAATTGGCACTTCTAGCCATGTATTTTGAGTGGTTACGGGACATTGTGTCTCATTCCGATCAGAATTGGTCGGACCATGTCGCATTAGCTGCTCCGAAGCGAAGTTGCAAAATGGCAACAACGGACAATCCAAAGTGTTGCGCCGGGGATATCACTGCATTTATCTCTCTCAGTGAGCTACGAGGAGCTCTGATGCACGGGCTGATAGGACCCCGAGCTTGCAAAGATCAGAGGTTTTCGTAAGTTCGTCATATTAATCTCACTACTATTAGGTCAACATTTTATGTGTGTGCAACGGTGATACCGTAGCAACTCCATCGTGGGGTCCCATGGAGCGGCTAATGACAAGCTCAGTTGCCGCGGGAGATTACAGTGACTCCGGCCGCTAGAGGCTAGTTCGCATCGCCTATGGCGACACCCATCTGACAGCGCGGCATAGTCCAAGGTAGGTTGAAAATGCAGTATATCATAAAAACTGCGCAT